CCAGCCACAGTTCAAGAATTTGCTGTGCTTTCTGCAAAAACACCCCCAGAGGCCCCATGTGGGACCAGGTTTCCTCCAGGGATTGTCATGCTGTCCTTGCACCAACCCTTCCAGTCCCCAGCCTGCCTGGTTATCGCAGCACTTCCCCAGGGCTGGCCAAGAGCAGCCTGCAGACATCACACGGACCAGGGCTGAAGGAGCCATCGAGACTTCCCTCTGCACCTCAGAGGTGCTGAGCAGGCCCTGCCCTCCCCAGTGCACCAGAGCCACCCCTGCCAAGTTCATGTGCAGCTCTCATCACCCCTGGCAGCCACGGCGCAAGGCGCTGTCTCTGCAGGCTGGCCCAGCACCTCCTGCGGGCCAGCACACAGCTCCGGGGCTGCTAAACCCAGGGCTAGCTCCAGGCCAGCAGCCCTTCCCAGCACGTGCCACGTCCTCTGCCCGTGTCAATCTTGCTTCTGCTGCTTTCAACCTCCATGTCCCCAGCCAGAATCACAGCATGACAGCATCACAGAAGGGGTGACAGTGGGAGGTGCCTCTGGAGATGGTCTAGGCAAAGTTTCGTGCCCAAAGCAGGGCCAGCCAGAGGTGCCCAGGACCGTGTCCAGCTGGCTTTTGAATATCTCCGAAGATGGAGACTTCACAACCTTTCTGGACAATCTGTTTCAGTGCTTGACTACTCTCACCACAAAAAAAAAAAAAAAAGGTTTTAATGTTTAAATGGGATTTCTTGTTTTCTTCAATCTGTGCCCACTGCCTTTTGTCCTGTCACTGGGCACAACTGAAAAGTGTCTGGCTCCACCTTGTTTACACCTTACCAGTAGGTTTTTACACACCCAGGTAAGATCCCTATGAGCCTTCTCTTCTCAGCACCAGACTGAGCTCTCAGCTTCTCCTTATGTGACAGATGCTCCAGACTCTCAGTCATCTCTTGGTGATTCTGCTCTGGCAGGGGGGTTGGACAGGATGATCTTGCAAGGTCCCTTCCAGTCCCCAACATTCTGCGATTCTGTGATTCTGTCAGATCTCAGTGGCGCTTTGCTGCACTTACTCCAGTACATTCATGTCACTTATTGTACAGAAGTGAGCACAACCCTTTGCTCCAGCTCAGCCTGAGCACTCTACCTGCACCAGAAGACCCACGTCCCAGTTCTGGTCCACTCTTCCCTTCCCTTGGAAGGTTTGAGTTGTGCCAACCATGGGTCCAGCTGGCCTGGGGCAGGTGTAACTCCTCTGTGTCATGGGTACCACCACTAAGAGCTGACCCAAATCAGGCAGCTCCAGCAGCGCCAGCCCCAGCAGCCATTACCTGGTTCTTGTCCAGCTCACAGTTCTTGTATTCACTCTCGCCCTGCTCCTGGAAGGTGACAATGACAAAGCCCACAAAGATATTCATCATGAAGAAGGCAATGAGGATGATGTAGATGATGAAGAACATTGCGATCTCCACCCGGTAGTTGTAGATAGGGCCTGTATCCTCAGCATTAGTGTCAATGGCCATGTAGAGCAGCCTACATGAGGGAAAGCGAGGCAACAAGGATCTAATTAGGTCAGAAAGACCATCTCTCTTCCTGAAGGTTACAGAGGGCTCTGGGGACACCCCAAATCCAACAGTGGTGGGACAGGGCTGCTGGGATGACCTTGTCAGCTCCACAGCTGCTGCCAATGCCTAGCCCTGCTCCTCAGTCAGGGCAGCTCTTCTCTCTTTACCACGGCAAAGGCTCGCAGCAGCGCGCCCCGCACGGACCCGTCCCTTGACAGGCCCCGCACACGGCACGACTCACTCTGGCCAGCCCTCGAAGGTGGAGACGGTGAAAAGTGACATCATGGCAGAGAAGACGTTGTCGAAGTGGAAGTTGCTGTGCAACCAGTCACGCTTCTGCAGCTCGATCTGCGTGGGGTCTCCGTCTACGTAGTTGATGAAGTAGCCCCTGCAGCGGGAGGGATGTGGAGCTCATCGGGCACGGCTCCCTTCAGCCACGTGCTGTGCTGCTGGCCCAGGGCTCTCTGGTCCCTGGGAGGGGAGGACAGCCCTGGGCCTGTTTCTGATTTACTCCAGTGTGAAGGAGAACAGTGCGAGACATTTTACGGATGCAACATCCCTACGCAGGAACAGAAGTGGCCCTGCCACCCCCCGCTCCCATCCCCGGGCACTGCCCTGCTGGGGCTGGGCTGCAGAGAGCTCTGACCTGCACTCCTTCTCCGTCATCTTGGATGGATCGGTGCATCCGTAGAACTTCCCCTGCATTCAACAGAGATCAGATGAGGCTACGATCTTGCTGTGACTTCAGAAGCCCTGGGGAGTTTTGACTTTTTTTCACAGCCCACAGCCAGCCCTCACCCTGCCTCCACGCCAGCTCTGGCCCTGCCTCAGAGTGCTGCTGCCGGCCCCGCTCTGCGTGCCAACACAACCCGGGTCATGCTGCTTCAGCAGCCACGGCAGCCCCTGAGGTCAAGACCAGGCTGAGACAAGTAAACACTGCCTAGTGACAGGAACAAATCTTCCCGGGTCCTGAGCTGAGACTTACCTGTTCATCCTATCTGGGAGCCAACTATTCAGAAAATAGGGAAGAAAGCAGGAACCACAGAATTAGCTAAAAATTAAGGTATGCTGACAGGTCTGCTCGGTCTGTAGAGTCCTGAAAGTTCTCCCCATGTCAGCTGGGAATTTAAACTTAACTTAGAACAATTTAAACTTAAATTAGAACAAAGCTGAGCTCAGCCAGGACCAGCTCTGCCTTGGAACAGCTAAGGCCTGAAGAGCAAGAGTGGTGCTGGGCAAAAAGAAACACTTCCCATCCAAAGCACACAAGAAAGCACTTGAGAGGGGAAACTGAGGCACTGACCACTCACTTCACATGTGCTGTCTGCACCTGACAGTATCCTGGGTGTTTCCTGCCCTCCTCCCACCCCGGGTGTGGGCAGGTCTTCTGCCAGAGCACAGAGAATACAGCCCCTGCCGACCTCAGTTCTGGGAGACACCATCCCCAAGAGCCTGTCCAGGATGTGCAGAACATCTCTCCTGCCCATCTGACCCCTCTCACCTTGAAGAGCTGGACCCCAATGCAGGCAAACATGAACTGCAGCAACGTCGTGACGACCACAATGTTACCGATAGTCTTGATGGCCACGAACACGCACTGGACCACGTGCTGCAGAGGTCGAGGACAGTGCACAGGTGAGAATGCCTGGGACAAGCCCCTGCTGAGGGATGGGCCCCGGGAAGAGCAGGAGCCTACTGAGAGCAATGGGATGGGGCAGACCCCTTCCACGGACAGGGAGTAGGAACTGAGTTCCAGGCTCCACAAAACCCAGAGGGCATGATGTCTGGCACCCAACCTCCTGTGAGGACCTCCAGTCTCAACCTCCCCCTTACCTTCAGCCCCTTTGCCCTGTTAATGGCTCGCAGAGTCCTCAGCACCCTCAGCACCCGCAGGATCTTCACCACTGAGATGGCACTGGACCTGAGGAGGCAGGCAGAGCTGAGCTGGGGCGATTCCCCTGCCAAGGCCAGCCTGGCACCGCCCCAGCAAGCAGCCATGGAGACCGGGCTGGGACCAGGGGTGAGAGGCAAGAGATGGTAGAGACATGCAGATTCCACTACGCCATCACCCCATGTAAGGCCAGGGGACACTGGCAGCCAAAGAAAGCAGCTCCAAATTGAATTTCTACCCAGATCTTCACCTCTGACACTCAAGGAATATGCCTCCCTGCCTCCCAGCTGTCCATGCCTTGACCCCTTAAGCATGACTTTATGGAGACCAACACAGCCCTCGGGCTGGTTGCTCCTTCTGCATCGCGCATAGAGCCGCAGCACCCCAGCTGCCCTCTCAGACTCAACAGACCAGCGCCCATCCCGCAACGTGTGGAGCTGCTTACTCGATCCCTGTGGAGATGAGGGAGACGGCGACCACCAGCAAGTCGAGGATATTGAAAGAGTTCCTGCAGAAGGAGCCTTTGTGCAGGAAAGCACCATAGGCTGTCATCTGGGGAGCAGAAGGAGTTAGGAGAGAGGCCAGAGAGGGCTCGGGGCATGGTTTGTCCATAGCCCTGGGGCAGAAAAAGCACAGGGGGCTCCTCACTGCTCCATGGCCTGGGGACCCTGTCCTGCTCAGACCTCTATCCCTGCAGCCAGACAGGAAGGTGGAAATCCCCTGTGCTGTACTGCCTGGAGACAAAACACCTTCCAGTCATTCAGCAAATTAAATAGGAAAAGAGTAGAGACTTGAAAGGGGACCAACATGCCTTCTCAGCAACTTTCCTAAAGATTTTCATAAGGGCACTGTCAGAGCGTAAGTGCTGGTGCCGTGGCTCGTCTCTTTGTGTCCCAGCACAGCTGGCTTGGCTGCCCGACCTCACTGGAGGGGACACACGGCCTCTGGGGCAGGTCACGCACTGCCTAGACTGCATGAACTCTGGGCAGGAGGATGAGCCAGCAGCTTCTCCTTGCTGGGACCACAAGCTCGCACCAAAAGAGCCCGAGCACCCACAGCCAGAACATTCTAGACCCATGTGCTGGGTCACAGAGCAGAGGAACTCACCTTCAAGACAATTTCGACTGTGAACACAGCAGTGAAAGCGTTGTCAAAGTATCCAAGAATCTGGAGACAGAAACACCAGCACTGGATGAGATTTGGGTGATGCGAGTAATGCTCCAGTGTGTTCAAACTACCTGGTACAGTGGCTTTGCCTTCCACTCTGTGGACTGGGGAGCCCAGCTAGCTCACCAGAGCCTGCAAACCCAGTGCCAAGAAGACTCCCGAACTTCTCTTGGCTTCACTGCTTTTTCTCAGTGCATGATCCAACCTGTAGCCTGGGACTAACCTCTCAGTTCCTGAGTGAGTGGCATTTGACCTGACTCAGCTGAAAGCATCCGATCCCCAAAAAGCACTTAGTGCCGGGGAAGCTGTCTCACGTGAGACTCTCCAGCCCCTGCCAGACACTGCCCAGGTGCCTTGTGTGGCGAGACCTGTGGCTACTACCACTCCGTGCCACACTCCAGCAACACCTCAGGGTGCTGAACACACCACTGCTCCGGCTTGCCACCTCCCGCGATGTCCCTATCCCCAGTCAGCCACCACAGCCTCGAACCAATGTAGTCTCACACACCCCGTGAGATAGATCTCTTCACCCAGAACTAAGCAGAGACAGGGAGCAGTAACAACATGTCCCACCTGTGCCCTGAACTGAAAACACAGCCAGCCTCTCCTCCCGCTGTGTGTTGCTCTCTCAGAGGCAGGGATGAAGCCACAGCTCCCTGCCTAGGCAGGACATTCGGAAAGCAGGCACCTGCTCACTGGGGAGCTTGGGCTCTCCAGGAGGTCCCCCCTGCCCATCTCTACCCTCTCCAGCTACGTGGGCACCTGGTTGCGGAAAGACTCGGCCCGGATGGGATCCTCGGCTGCCAGCGAGATGCTGCTCAGTAGAATGAACAGCAGGATGAAGTTGGTGAACCAGGTGGCGTTGACAATTCTGTGGCACAGCATCCGAAACCTGCCACGGACAGAAATGACACGAGATGCTGTGAGGGGCCAGAGGGACATCAGATAGGGCCTGGTAGCCTGGAAGAGGGTTACAGCTAAACCTTGAGGACAGGAAGGCCCTACGCACGAAGGGAGGTCTGCGCCAGCACTCCCACAGAGAAGAGTTCTCCCAGTGAGCTGGCTCCCCTCAGCTCTGGCTGTTACGCAGAAGCAGGACCCCGGTGGGAATGGTCAGTGCCAGAGGCACCCAGGCCAGGCCTGGCTCCACAAGGTGGGGAGAAGGGTCAGTGCCTACTTGTTGGTTGGGCTGAAGATGAAGAAGGAGCTGGCTTCAGGCATGGGAACAGCCTTCTCTTTCAGCTGTAGTTCTGCCAGGGGACGTGGCCGAGGACTCAAGGGGATTTCAGGCTCGTCTTCTTCATCGTCACCTGCACAGTGGCCACAAGGAGGGAAGAGGAAAGAATCATCCAGGGAGGGATGTGACCTTCTGTAACAATCCTCTGAACGCGATTTGGCCCCTGTGCCAGACTGACCTCAGTACCCTGAGCTTGGCAGAGGGTCACCACATCCTTCGCTCCTCACACAGCCAAGATTCTGGCACCATCCCTCTGCAGCGCCTCCCCAGCTGCCCTGCTGCCCTGCCACAGACAAGTCTTACCTGGGAAGTCTGCAGAAGGGTAGGGGTCTTTGATTTCATTGACACTGGATTCAAATTCGTCCACTTTTAACTGAAAAAAACCAAAAAAAGTTACAGAGAGAACATCCAGCTGCGTGGGCCAGTATTGCTGCCAAACATTGCATGTTGGCCAGACTCTATCATCTCGGAAGCCATGTGGGCCAAGCAGTGACACTGCATTTGGTCCATCCAACACGAACTACACAGTCTTGGCCCAGGAGGGGAAGCACCTCAGGGGTGCTGCAATATGAGCAAATACCGTGAGGATGGGACAGGGAATGTGTGCTGGGCAAGTGCCTGGCGTCTTGCACCTACACCATGGGTGGAATTAAGACACAGGGTGACCCCTGGGTGAGTTCCCGTTGGGAGTCTCTGGAAAGTGGACAGGGAAGTAGCTGCTCAACAGATGCTTATAAGAGGCAACTCAGCACAGTCAGCACAGCTAACAGGGGGTTCTTCACACTGGGGATGCTGGTGTGGACACAACGGAGGTCAGTGACGCTGCTGACCTGCTCTGCTCCCCTCCACACTGGTGTGCACCAGCTCACCTCCATCACTGACAACTGGCTGTGGCCAAGAAAACGCATCAGAGGAAAAAGATCCCCAGCAATAGATCAGTTTCACCAGCCAACATGTCCTGTCTGGGCCCAGAATGCCCCCATCATTAGTGGATGTTAAGGCAAGGAGTGATTCCGGCCCAGAAAAGTCCAGACCCAGGCCAGGTCCAAGACTTTGTCAGTCGTGGCTGGTGGGAGGAGGAGCCTGGTCCCTCACCAGGAGCGTGCCAAAGCCCAGTGCCACCAGCACTAACCTTTTCTGTCGTGGGAATCCCTTCTCCCTTTGTTTTCTGCTCAAGCTTCCTTGTTAGCATCTGCTTCTCATCTTCAGACTTCTCTGGGTAAGCTCTGAGTGGAGAGGAGGGGAGAGCAGGAACTGAACTCCGGGCAGGGGCACGGGCGATGCTGTTTGTCCCCTCACACCAAAGCACCTGCTTTGGGATCTCCCACTGCCAGGGACTGACACACTCACCTGGACATCTTCCGCCGCTTGCGTTCCTCTGCTTTGGCCTTCTGGGCTAAGGTCAGGCTCTCAGCCTCAGCCAGATTATCAACGGCGATGGCCAAGAACACATTGAGGAGGATATCTGGCAGGGACAGTGCTAAGGACGTGGTTCCTCTTTGGAGGTTGTGGCCAGAGCTTTCTATGGTCCCAGCATGCCCTGAGAAATCTTCCTAGAGCTGAGCCTTTGAGATAACTCTGGGCAGTGATGCCCAGCCCTGTGCCCATCCTTGTAAGTCCTGAACTCTGGGCTGGTTGCCCTCTCTCTGCCTTAACTGAGGCCCGTTACTGCATTGACTGACGGCTGCCAGCCACCCAGACCTGTCCCGCGGTGTGCTGACCCCAGAGCCCAGCCACCACCAGTGAAAACCCTGAAGCCTACGGCTTGTTCCCCTGCTGTGCAGAACAGGGAGGCTGCAGGCAAGCACCAGTAACCCCGCCGCCCCCTTGCCAGTGCCGTGCAGCTGATGCGACAGGGACGGGTAGAAGGAGCCTGGGCCTGGCTTGCAGGCAGAGGATACAGTTCCCGCAGACGAACAGGATGATGAAGTAGATGCAGACCAGCATGCCAGGAAAGGACGGGCCTCCGTAGGCCATGATCCCATCATACATGATCGAATTCCAGTCCTCTCCAGTCAGGATCTGGGAGCAGAGCAGAAATAGGGACTCGGGAGCCTCCAGTGCAGAGCAGGGCAGAAGCCCACAGCTCGACAGCGTCCTCCTGGCTCCAGCCCCAAGCCCTCACAGACCCACGGCCAAACCCCATCTGCCCCCTCAGCCCCGAACCTGCTCACGACCCCGACCGCATTTCCCTGCTCCTGCTTCAAAGCCACATCACCTCCCACAACGCCACGTTTCTCTGAGGCTCCCGGGACCCCGTCCTCCAACTCCCTGTGGCACTTCCCACAGCCCCGCACCTGGAAGACGCTGATGAGGGCCTGCGGGAAGTTGTCGAACGTGCTGCGCCGCACTTCCATGTCCTCAAAGTCAAATTTGCCCCCAAAGAGCTGCATGCCCAGCAGTGCAAAGACGATGATGAAGAGAAAGAGGAGGAGGAGCAGAGAGGCAATGGAGCGGACAGAGTTGAGCAGGGAGGCCACCAGGTTGCTCAGGGATGTCCAGTACCTGGGGTGAGGAGAAACAGGAGTGCGGGAGGTGAGGGAGTGGGGAAGGCTGTGGACAGGACCGGGCAGGCACCGGGAACAGAGAAGCTGGCCCAGGGGATGTGCCGGCAGCCCAGCAAGGGGGGCTCCAAACCAGCACCATGCACAGGCTGGGGGCTGGGACTGCTCCAGCCTGGCCCCAGGAGGTGGAAATGAAGCTCCAGACACGGTGTGACGGGCCAGACACCCTGCGGCAGGCACAGGGCACCAGCCAGGATGGGGAAGGGCGACGAACACACAGCGGGCGAGTGCCAGAGAGGCCCAGAGTTCTGGCCCACAGCACCCCCATCTGGGCCCACAGCATCCCCATTTACAAGACCCCAGAACCCACAGGGACTCAAGGAGACTTCCAGCACGCCCTGCTCTGTCCTCCTTACCACTCCCAGGCCTCATCCTGGAGACAGAAATCCCCAGCTTGGCCTTGCTCCTCTATCCAGGAGCTACCAGCTCTGCTCACGCTGCAGCCCTCCCCAGGGACAAGGCCAGTGTCACCTGGGGACCATGAGCCAAAAGCACCCACAGGGCTCCCTCCCCAACCTGGTGATCTTGAAGATGCGGAGGAGTCGGATGCAGCGCAGCACAGAGATGCCCAGGGGTGACAAGGTGTTGAGCTCCACCAGGATGGTCTCCAAGATCCCCGCACACACCACGAAGCAGTCGAAGCGGTTGAAGAGTGACATGAAGTACTGGCGCAGGCCCAGCGCGTACATCTTCAGCAGCATCTCGGCCACAAAGAGCGCCAGCAGCACCCGGTTGGCATTGTCTGGGGCAGGAAATCAGAGCACGGGCCTCTTCATCTCAGCATGGCACAGCAGGAAGGGGAGGGCAGCGCTGCTCACCTCCCTTCCCTGCTGGTTTTCAGGGAGCACACAGGAGGGGAAGATGAGGAGAAGGGTGACGTGCAACTGCGAGCTTGTACACGTACTGTGCACGAGTCCGCCCAGCGTGTGCACGCGTACTGGGCTGTGCGCGTGTGGCTGAGCTGTGCACATGTGCAGGGCCGTACTCCCGGTGTCTGCCGGTGTTTGGGGGGGGAGCAGGCAGTGTGACTGCACACATCGATGTGTGTGGCTGACCTGAGCCGAGTGCATGCAGTGTGTGTTTGTGTGTACAAGGCATGTACAGGTGCAAAGGTACACACTCTCTGTGTGTTCACCACACAAACCCACATCTTTACACCTGTGTGCCATGCATGTGTCACTGCACGCACCACGCACGTTCACTGTGCAGCAGGGATGGTGTGTACACACCTGTGTGCAGGCTGCGTTTGTGTGCATGAGCATGTCTGCGTGTCTGACAGCCCCTGTGCCATGCCAGTGCGGCTGTGCACGCGCAGGACGAGTACACGCATGTCTTCGGCGCAGGAGGGTGTCCCAAGCTCTCCCGCTACCTCTGGCTCTTTGCTCACCTTGCACCCGTGTCAGCCATTCTGGCTGTAAGTGGTGCTCAGAGGCGATGGAGAGGGTGTTCAGTGCCACCAGCAGGATGACAAGCCAGTAGAAGAACTTGGACTTCACCACATCCCTGCACTTCCTACGGAACAGCCGGTTCCAACGCCTCCACTGACGGCTGGAGAGACGGCCAAGGGGTCAGCTCGGGGCTGTGCCTGCAGGCTGCAGAGCAAAGCCACCCCCGCTCCCTTCTCCAGGGGCCCTCCCTAAGAAGGGCTGCGGAACATAACCCTGCCCCTGGCTCTTCGTGCATTCGCTCAGACGCTGCAGTTCATTCACACAAACACCTCTGGCTGGCTGCTACAGGCCCGGCTCCTAAATCACAAGACATGCTGCCCAGGCCACAGGTGGATGTTCAGAGCCTGGTCCCAAACTGAAGGGGTTCTTCACCTCGAAGAGGCTTTTTGCCAGTACCAGAGTAAAATTCCCTGTTTGCTGCCCACCTCCTCCTGAGCACGCAGCCCCTGGCTCTCCCCCAGAAACTGGTGCCTGAGAAGAAAGCCTGGCCCAGGCAGGACAGCAAGTGAGAGACTATGCAAGCCCACATGCAGAGCAGCAGATGGTCCAACCAGTGCACACTTACAAGTAGAGAATCCACTTGTTCATGCCCTCAATTTCATACAAGCTCTCTGTCTCCGACCCTCCTTCATCCGACGGCATCATACCTAAGGAAGAAATGACACCCCAGGCTTTCCTTGGAGCCCTTGGGAAGAACATGTAGGAGGGAACCTCTCCCAGAAGCACATGAGGAAGAGCTTCCCCAGCAGAAGTGAAATCAAGAAATGCTGACCCAGGGAGACAACAGCGAGAATTTGCGAAGAAGTTTTTGAGTGCCAGGTGCAAACCAAGTAGGAGGCACCAGACACCTGCCATGCAGCAAGAGCAGCAGCAACATGGAAAGGCAGCCTGAAGAGACAGCGCTGTGAAAGCAGGCTCCTCGGTGTGAGACACTTCCAGCAGAGAAAAGTGGGGTCAGCTGTGATCTGAGCAAATGCTGAACAACAGGAGGTTTGCAAGAGCACTGGCCACAGGTGTGGAAGAGGTGTTCTGTCCTCCCCACCATTTCCCAAGGCTCTCTGCACACACGTATCGCTCAGCTTGAGGCATCAGAAGTTATTTCCACACAGTGGTTGAGGTGAAGATTTAGCATGAGGGCCAAGTCATTGCTGGCTTGAGTCAGATTCGACAGAACGGTTCAGGAAAGGAACAAAAAACAACAAAAAAGGAAGAAAATCATTCTGCAGAAGTCAAAGCATTTTGTTTCATCTGTTTTCAAGCAAAATGAGCCTTTCTGACTTCTCCAAAGGTCTCTTTCCTGCCTCTATAGGATGGTCAGTGTTAGGAATCCAACCCTCACACTCCTTCAAGCAGAACAAGTACCTTTTTCCCTGGCCCGGTCGCTGTCCATGACCTCAGCGTGGGTGATCCAGTCCATGTAGCCCTTCAGATCCTCCTCCAGTTGCTGCTTCTCCCGCAGCTTCTGGAACGTGCCCCGTGACTTGGCCTTCTCACGCTCCTTGGTGAACTCTCTGGAACAAGCAGCAGAGGGAGACTCAGCGGGGGGATGGCGTGGAGGTCAGGTACCATATCCCCGTGCCGGGCCAGTCCTCCCAGAAAGACAAAAGCCTTCAATATCCCGCCACCGAGGGCTACCATCAGATTGCTCTAGTGACCTCCCTCTTTCTTGACCCTGTTCCACAATGCAGGATCACGGGGGAGCATCGCCTGGTGCCTGATGGCAGGCAGGGATTCTTCCCCAGCACTGGCTGCTCTTTGGGAGCTCCTTGCTGCAGGATGCTGTGGCTGGACAGGCCAACAAGCACTAGATGTTGGAGGCTCTGGGAGTTCTCCAGCCCCATCAAGGATTAGAGCAAGTGGGGTATCACCCACCTGGGGGGCCAACGGCTGCCCCAAGCTCTCCATATGGGGAAGAAAACAGGACACTCTTTACAGTAACACGGACAAGGCAGGTCTGCCAATGCAGAGGGTCCCACTCGTATTCTTCTTTAATTAATTTATTTTCTCTCCTGGTGGATTGTAGATCTGCTGTCCAGCCAGCGTGGTGCTGCCATGTGTTAATTAGAGGTCTCAGACATTATAGTAATAATAAGATGTACTAAACCTCAGGACTTGTCAGGCCTTGTCTGGATTTTCCTCATCTCAAGAATATTTTAGCTGTATTTGCAAAAATAATTCAGAACTTCTGGCTGTGCCTGCACCTCACTCTAGGATGACTACTGTCCAGCTCGTCCTGCTGTTACAGCCAACTTCACGCGAGGGTCGAGTACCTATGGTCTGTCTTGTGGTTCTGAGCTTCTTTTAGTTATATTAATACTCAATTTGTTTATCTTTGTGCAGTTGTATGTTTCTTGCCATAGAAGAGGACTAAGAAATCCAAGTAATTAGGGTACAAGTATCCCTGGGAACTAACGGAGGCAATGAGTGTGATCCACTCACACTCACAAGATCAAAACATATAATAGAGACTCTGAATCTAAACAAAACTGAGGAGAAAATCGCCCCTCTCACTCCGCAAGACAACACACACTTCGCAGCAACAATATGGGGATACTGGCACCGTACCACAGCAATGCAGAATAGGTCGGGCCCCGCACCAGAGATATTTTGTGCATTTTTCACTGTACTACCGGGGAAATTGGCACTAATTGAGCCATTTGGCACAGCAATGCTATGATCGTTGCAACCAGACTGATGACAGCTCGCTGTTGTATTTGGATGAGGCTCCTGAAGCACTGACTAGCCTGACAATAACTCTCTCGGATCCCTCGCATTCCTATCGACGGTGTTTCCCTTCGGCTGGCCATAAGGAAATGGGGTGTGCTCACAACAGGACGGCAGCACCGCGACCCACAGCCACGAGGTGAGGATCGCTGCTGCGAGCTCCCTGCTCAGCTCGCAGACCACGCTCCCAACACCCAATAACAGGATCCATGGCTGTGCCTGCTGAGAGCCGCTTGTGTTACAGGGAAAAGATTTCTGTCTTAGGTGTTGAGTTAAAATCTCAGTCATGGATTCAAACACAAAAAGTAACTCAAGGCTCACGGTTTCTAAGCATGCAAAAAAAAGAAAAAAAAAGGAAAGCAGCAGAAACTTCTCCGGGCTTTCCTCTTGTATAAACCCAGCCAACGTCCACTCTTTCTGATCATGCTCACTGATCTGCTGGCAAAGAGGAAGCCAGGGCAGCACTTACCCACTGAGCACCCCCAGCACCAGGTTGAGAACAAAGAAGGAACCGAGCAAGATAAGGCTGACAAAGTAGATCCAGGGCCATTCATTCCCAATAGCATCGTTTACCTGGCAAGGAGAGAGGCAGTTGAAGCATTCCAAACACTGTCTGCTGTCTGTCTGCCTTCAGGGACCCTCAACAGCCTCTGGGAGCTGTGTCCCCTCTAAAGCAAGGGCTTGGGATGGCAGCAGATAAAGCTGACTCAGCCCTGGCTCCTTATGACTCCACATGTGGTTTTAGCCGAGGTCAACCCAGACCTGAGTATTTTGGGAGCAGATTTAAACATCAGCCCCGTTCCTAAGCCTCAGCAAGGCAGTCTCCCCAAAGACTCCAAGACATGGGTTTTTGCTGGAGAAGCATCCAGCAGCCGGCCATTGCTGTGCCTGGCCTGCACCCCTTCGCAAAGGTGGGAGCTGAAGCACCCTCCTGTCTACCTGGAAAGCAAGGACAGCTTGGGCGGCGCCTGCAGAGGTGCAAAACACATGCCCTGTGCACCACAGGATGTGCATCACAGTAGGAAGCTTGGTGGAGGTAGGATGTTTTCCCACCTCGCCCTGCTGTGGGGTCCTGGAGGGAATTTCCTGCTCGGAGGCAGGACCAGCAGTCACCTCTGCTCAGACAATCCCAACCTGCTGGAGCCTACCCAGTAGAGGACTTCGGTCCAGCCCTCCATGGTGATGCACTGGTAGACAGTGAGCATGGCAAAACCGAAGTTGTCGAAGTGAGTGATGCCATTGTTGGGCCCCGGCCAGCCGCTTCGGCACTCGGTGCCATTGATGGTGCAGTGTCGCCCGTGGCCAGAGCTGGTGCAAGGGGCTGGCTTCTCCAACGCCACCGTGGCAATCACATCTGCGGCGAAAAGCCGTGGTGTGAGCAGCAGGTCAGGCCAAGTCCAGCAGGTCCCAACGCCTCCCAGCCTCCTGCAGCAGCTTCCAAAAAGGGGCCCCTTTCACCACCTCCTCACGCTGTGCACCACCACCCAGCTGTGTGACCTCTGGCCCTGCCACACTGCCAGGCCTGGCGCTGGCAAGAGCAGACTTTCTGCTACCCCCAGAAACTCTGTGGTCCCCACAGCAGCCGGACAGAGACAT